GGCCCCGCTAAAGGCGGTGAATCGTTAGAGCAGCCTCAGGCATTGAAGTAAGTATGTGGGGTCCCAAAGAGAAGCTGCCGACATCGGCACTTATTCGCCTGCCCCTCTTGACTCATCGCCTCTCGCCCATCGATAAACTACTAAACTTCATTTCTTTCCCCTCCCCCCCCCCACCACCATTCTGACTGCAATCATTGAATTGGACTGCAATCATGGGTGCTGAATCAGTCTCCTTACAGGAGCGTCTTGAGCGATGGGCTCAACGACTACAGAATCTTACTGTCTCCCCCCTCACAAGAGATTATCCCGACAACCACAAGCAGGAGCTTCCCAAGAGAGCAATTGAAGCCTTTGAGTCAATTAAGCTGTCCCAGGGTTCTCAATCAGCCCTCGAGAAGATCTCCGGTTCCTCCTCAAGTTTCACTGTCTTCCTCACTGCTTTCGTTGTTCTCGTTGCCCGTCTGACCGGCGATGAGGACATCGCCATCGGCACCAGTTCCAGCGACGATGGCCGACCTTTCGTTCTCAGAGTCCCAATTGAGGCTTCGGAGACTTTCCTCCAACTCTATGCTAAAGTCAAGAAGGTATAGTCCTTGTTCATGAAACTTGTCCCCTCCCATTCTCATCCTGTTTTATGTAGGCCTTCGAAGAAGGAGCTTCTGAAATCGTACCTTTGGGCAGCCTAAGAAACTACATCCAAGAGAAGTCTGGCTCCGAGCGCTCCCCTATCCTCTTCCGCTTCGCTGCCTATGACGCACCCGCTGCCTCCCAAGACTATCCCGCCAACACCTTCGAGACCACCGATCTTGTCCTCAACATTGCTCCAGTCCTTGCCTCGGATGACTCAACATCTCAGGCCGAGTTGGGAGCATACTACAACCAGAGATTATTCTCCAGTGCGAGAATCTCCACCATATTGAAGCAGCTCGCCAAGCTCGTGGAGAATGCGACCAGCAACCCGGAACAGGCCATCGGCCGTATTGATTTCATGACCGAGGATCAGCAGGCATTGCTTCCCGATCCCACCTCTGATCTGAATTGGTCCAAGTTCCGTGGTGCCATCCATGAGATTTTCGCCGCTAATGCGGAGAAGCATCCCGACAAGCTTTGTGTGGTCGAGACCAAGTCGGAGCGTTCCCCTCACAGGGAGTTTACATACAGACAAATCAACGAGGCGTCTAACATTCTGGGTCATCACTTGGTTCAAGCTGGTGTTGAGAGGGGCGAGGTTGTCATGGTTTACGCCTACCGTGGTGTCGATCTCGTGGTTGCTGTGATGGGTATCCTCAAGGCCGGCGCAACCTTCTCCGTCATCGATCCAGCATATCCTCCGGAAAGACAGTGCATCTATCTGGATGTCGCTCGTCCTCGTGCATTGATCAACATTGAGAAGGCTACCAAGGATGCCGGTGAGCTGTCTGATGAGGTCCGCTCATTCATTGACAAGAACTTGCAGCTTCGTGCTGAGGTTCCCGCGCTTGCTCTCCGCGACGACGGAACCCTTGAAGGTGGCTTAGTCAATGGACAGGATGTGCTGGCCAAACAAGTGTCTCTGAAGGCTCAATCTGTCGGCGTCGTGGTTGGTCCGGATTCTACCCCCACCTTGTCGTTCACCTCCGGCTCTGAGGGCAGGCCCAAGGGTGTCCGGGGTCGTCATTTCTCCCTGGCATACTACTTCCCGTGGATGTCGGAGACCTTCAAGCTCAAGCCTAATGATCGTTTCACGATGCTGAGCGGTATTGCTCACGATCCGATCCAGAGAGATATCTTTACCCCTCTCTTCTTGGGTGCTCAACTACTTGTTCCTGCTCGCGAGGATATCCAGAATGAAAAGCTCGCCGAATGGATGCGCGAGTACGGCGCTACTGTCACTCACCTTACACCTGCCATGGGTCAGATTCTGGTGGGCGGTGCCTCAGCTCAATTCCCCGAGCTTCACCATGCTTTCTTCGTGGGTGATATCCTCATTAAGAGAGACTGCCGCTCCCTTCAGGGATTGGCTCCGAATGTCAACATTGTCAACATGTACGGCACGACCGAGACGCAGCGTGCCGTCAGTTACTTTGAAATCCCTAGCTACTCGAGCGACGAGGGCTATCTGGATACCATGAAGGATGTCATTCCAGCTGGGCGGGGTATGCTCGACGTTCAGATGCTGGTTGTCAACCGCTTCGAGCCCAACCGCATTTGCGCCATCGGTGAAGTGGGTGAGATCTATGTCCGCGCTGGTGGTCTTGCAGAGGGCTACCTTGGCTCCCCGGAGTTGAACGAAAAGAAGTTCCTGACCAACTGGTTCGTGGACCCTCAAACCTGGACGGAGAAGGACAAGGCCGAAGCACAGGGCTCGAATGAACCCTGGAGGGAGTTCTACTTTGGCCCAAGAGATCGATTGTATCGCAGCGGAGATCTCGGCCGTTACACCCCCACCGGTGAGGTCGAATGTTCTGGACGTGCAGACGATCAGGTCAAGATCCGTGGATTCCGTATCGAACTGGGCGAGATTGACACTCATCTGTCTCGTCACCCGCTTGTCAGAGAAAATGTTACTTTGGTGCGTCGTGATAAGTTCGAGGAGCGCACCCTGGTCAGCTATTTCGTTCCCGACATGAGTAAGTGGGCATCATGGCTGCAGCAGAAGGGTCTTGAGGACGATGAGTCCGCTGAAGGCATGGTTGGCATGCTCAGACGATTCCGCCCCCTGCGTGACGACATTCGAGACCATCTTCGCAGCAAGCTTGCTAGCTACGCTGTGCCGACCGTCTTCATCCCCCTTAAGCGCATGCCTCTCAACCCCAATGGCAAGATCGACAAGCCCGCATTGCCCTTCCCTGATACTGCAGAGCTCAGTGCCGCCGCGCCTCGGCGCAAGTCCTCGGTGGCGCAAGCCCTCAGCGAGACGGAGCAGGCTGTGGCCTCAATCTGGGGCCAGCGCATTCCTAATGTGACCGCTCGTATGATTAGCCCCGATGACTCGTTCTTCGATTTGGGAGGTCACAGTATCTTGGCTCAACAGATGTTCTTCGACGTTCGACGCAAGTGGCGCGAGATCGATGTCAGCATGAACTCCATTTTCCGCAGCCCTACCCTCAGGGGCTTCGCTGCCGAGATCGACCGTCTGCTGAATCTGGAGTCGTTCGCTAGCAACGACGAGCGTAAGACCGCTGCTGCAGAGCCCGCAGCTCCTGCTGAGCTCGATGACGAATACTCGAAGGATGCCCGCAAGTTGGCAGAGACTCTGCCCGCTTCGTTCCCTACTCGCACCGAGCCTATTCTTGCATCCGAGCCCACCATTTTCCTCACCGGTGCCACTGGTTTCTTGGGTGCTCATATCCTCCGGGATCTCTTGACCCGCAAGTCACCGCAGGCGAAGGTTGTGACTTTGGTGCGCGGCAAGACAGACGAGCAGGCGCTCGGCCGCATTCGCTCTACTTGCCAGGCGTACGGTTTCTGGGATGAAGCCTGGACTAGCCGGCTCCAGTGCGTGTGCGGTAACCTGGGCGAGCCTCGGTTCGGTTTCTCCGACGCTCTTTGGGAGGACCTAACCCAGCGTGTGGATGCCGTCATTCACAACGGTGCTCTGGTTCACTGGGTGTACCCCTACTCCACCCTCAAGCCGGCCAATGTGCTGGGTACCATTGACGCTCTCAAGCTCTGCGCCAGCGGCAAGCCCAAGCAATTCTCCTTCGTCAGTTCGACCAGTACCCTCGACAGCGACCACTATGTCTTGGAATCTGAGCGGATCGTTGCCGAGGGCGGAGCTGGTATCAGCGAGGCGGACGATCTCGAGGGTAGCAGCGTCGGCCTTGGAACCGGCTATGGTCAGAGCAAGTGGGCGGGCGAATACCTCGTGCGGGAAGCTGGTCGCCGCGGTCTCAAGGGTACCGTCGTGCGTCCTGGCTACGTCCTTGGTGACTCCCAGACCGGAACTACTAACACCGACGACTTCCTCATCCGCATGATCAAGGGCTGTATCCAGCTCTCCGCCCGCCCCAACATCAACAATACCGTCAACATGGTGCCCGTCGACCACGTTGCTCGCGTTGTCATTGCGGCCGCCTTCCAGCCCCCTTGCACCCCGATTGGCGTCGCCCAGGTCACTGGTCACCCTCGCCTTCGCTTCAATCAGTTCCTGGGCGCCCTGCAGCTCTACGGCTACGAAGTGCCCCAGGTTGATTACGTTCCCTGGTCTAAGGCCTTGGAGCAGTACGTCAATGACGGCCAGCACGATGACCCCGAGTCTCAGCACGCATTGTAAGTCATTAGCCACCCCATTCTCTTTTCTTGAAGCTTTGCACCCGAACAATTACTAATATTGCCTCAGGATGCCCCTCTATCATTTCGTCACCTCCGACCTCCCCTCCAACACCAAGGCTCCTGAGCTCGACGACGTCAATGCTGCCGCCTCCTTGCGCGCCGACGCCGCCTGGTCCGGCATTGATGCCTCCGCTGGCGCTGGTGTCACTGAGGAGCTGGTCGGTCTGTATGCGGCGTACCTTGTTGCTACCGGCTTCCTTCCTCCGCCCACGGCTGTTGGCGCCCGCCCGCTGCCGACGGCTCAGTTGACGGAGGACCAGAAGAAGGCCCTGGCTAATGTTGGTGGTCGTGGTGGTGCTTCCTAAAAGTCGCACTCACTTCTTGTTGTGTGTTAGCGTTTCGTTTATTCTAAGGGAAGGGAGTATCAAAAGTTTCATGAGTCTATGGTACGATATGTGTATGGCATGGTACAGTATGCCACGATGTTCTAGGCATTTTATCTATGATCACAAGTCGAGGGAGTAGATAATATTAGAGAAGAATCTTCTTACTGTTACATGGACAGTCTACGCAGCAACAATATTCAGTTGCCACAGCCTCATCTCCTTCTGACTCGATGGTGAGTCTGCGTATCTGAGACAAAGACATGCTGCACAGTACATAAATCTACAAAAATACTGTTCTTTTACTTTAAAGGCTCTTGAGCTGCACTATCATGGTCAGCATCAGCGCTATACTTCCCCACGATGGCACTCGAGAGAGTCGCCCGACCACTGTACGTGGTGGCCACGACCATCACTCTGCTGTTTGTCTTTGCATCTTTTCTCCTCCATTACAACTCCAACGCGCACCTCAAGCCTTCAAGTCTACGCAAAACAGCTCTTCGCGTGATTATCGTCCAGTGCATATCGGCTTCTTACATCTCTGAAGTGATCATTATCTCCCGACAGCATCATGGACTTGATCCAACTCCCGGCCATAACTTCGCAGCAGTCGCCACTGCGTTCGCATGGGCTACGACCTGCCTCCGTAAGCACATCCTCGTCGCAGAAGCTACTGGTCTCAGCGTAATCGCCCTCCTCTTTGGCATTCCTGGCCTGGTTCTTGATGCCATTCACCTGGATCGCCCAGCAGTGTACCAAACCCTGATCGTCCTGTATTCCATCCGACTACTCTTTGTTAGCGGCGTGCTTGCGAACTGTCTACTCCACACCCGTTCACAAAGAAATCCCCTCAAGAGCGAGGAAGATGAGGATATAATACCGTGTCTGGACGAAGCCAATGGCCATTCCGCACACAGTCCGATCTCCTACGGCACCACACGGACAGATGGCATCAAATCTTCCTGCAGTGAATATGAAGGCGATTCAGAGACCTCCTCCGACGAGGACGAGGACGACGATTCTCGCACCAGCCAGCTCCGCAAGACCGCAGCTGGATAGCATACATCCAGAACTTCCAGGTCTTCCTCCCGTTCCTGATTCCTCGGAAGGATCGCAAGGTGCAGGCCTGCCTCCTCGTCTGCGTTCTCTGCCTCATCGCCGACCGCGTGCTGAACGTCCTGGTGCCCCGCCAACTGGGCATTGTCGCGGACAAGCTCTTCGCCCGGGAGTCGCCGTCCACGGAGCTGGGCATTTACATCGCGCTCAACCTCCTGCACGGCCAGTCGGGCGTGGAGATGATCCTCTCCCTCGCGAAGATCCCGATCAAGCAGTTCTCCTACCGCCAGCTAACAACCACGGCGTTCAGCCACGTCATGGACCTGGGCATGGACTTCCACTCGGATCGCGACTCAGCCGAGGTGATGAAAGCGATGGAGCAAGGCGAGGCGCTGACCAACCTCCTCGAGGTGGCGCTGCTCGAGATCGCGCCCGCCATCCTCGACACAGGCGTGGCCTTCGTCTTCCTGTACCGCAAGTTCACCTCCACAGCGGCGCTGAGCATGCTCATCGCGACGCTGGCCTTCACGGCCGTCGAAGTCATCAACGCCGACTGGAACGTAGCCAACCGGCGGCGACAGACCCGCGCCGAGCGCGCCGAGGCGCGCGTCCTGCACCAGGCCATCCAGGACTGGCCGACGGTCTTCATCTTCAACATGTTCCAGCACGAGCGGGCGCGCTTCGGGGCCGCCGTCGACCGGCATCTGCAGGCCACGCGCGCCTGGTCGCAGCGCGACGGCTACACGACCGCGCTGACGGAGGCCTTCTTCCCGGCCACCTTCGCCCTGCTAGCCACCCTCGTCGCGCGCGAGGTCCAGGCCGGCCGCGCCTCGCCCGGCGACTTCGTGTTCCTGGTCCAGTACTGGGACTCCCTGGTCTGGCCCATCAAGTACCTCTCCAAGGACTACCGGTGGCTCGTCGCGGAGCTCGTCGGCGCCGAGCGGCTCCTCGACCTCCTCCGCACCCAGCCCACCGTCACCGACGCGCCGGACGCCCTCGCCCTCGACCCGTCGACAGTCGAAGGCCGCATCGAGTTCAAAAACGTCACCTTCTCCTACGCCACCGACAGACACCACCACCTCCCAACCCTGCAGGACATCACCCTCACCGCCTCCCCGGGCCAAACCATAGCCCTAGTAGGCGCAACCGGCGCCGGCAAATCCAGCCTCACGCAGCTCCTCCTGCGCGCCTACGACCTGCCCCAAACACCCGCAGGCGGAACCATGACCCTCGACACCCACGACATCCGCACCCTCACGCAATCCTCTCTCCGGCAAACCATAGGCGTCGTCCCCCAGAATCCTCTACTGTTCAACACCTCCATCCTCGACAACCTCCGGTACGCGCGGCCATCCGCCAGCATTCCGGAAATCCACGCCGCGTGTCGCAGCGCCGCCATCCACGAGAAGATCCTCTCGTTCCCGAAGGGCTATGCCACCGAAGTCGGGGAGCAGGGGGTCAAGCTGTCCGGCGGGGAGGTACAGCGGCTGGCGATCGCGAGGGTGCTCCTGAAGGATCCGGCCGTGTTGGTGCTGGATGAGGCGACGAGTGCGGTGGATACTGGATCAGGCGACGAGTGTGGTGGATACGGAGACGGAGTGGGTGGTGCAGCGGGCTTTGTTTGGGTCACATACTTCGGGGGACAGTAGGGGTGAATATGGAGGGAGGGTATGGGGATGAGGAGGAAGAGGAAGCGCACGACGTTTGTGATTGCGCATCGGCTTTCGACGGTGGTGCGGGCGGATTTGATTGTGGTGTTGCATGAGGGGAGGATTGTGGAGAGGGGCACGCATGAGGGATTGTTGAAGGAGCGGGGGCGGTATTTTGGGCTCTGGGAGAGGCAGTTGATGGGCGAGAAGGAGATGCCTTTGGTGGATATAGATGGGAGTTCGTTACCTTAAGTTGGGGCTGTTTTGGCGTTATCTTGGTCGGATGCTTTGATATACCACTTTTACTGTTATAGAGTTCATTTACGGTCATTCACCGAATCATAAATCATGCATGATCATCAAATCAAACGCAAACTATCTAGCTACCGCGAAACAATCAACGCGAAGGACGCAAAAAAGCAATTGAAGCGCAAAATCATTCTTCATATCTCGATCCGCAGGATGCGACCCATCTTACCCTCGACATCATGGCTGTGGTACACACAGCTCAACAACACCAGTCTAGTTGGTGTACCAGGTGGAATCACCGGTGCAAGTCCCCTGGAAGGTGAAGGAAGAGTTGGTCTGCACGATACGGGCAATCGGCTTCTCCGCCTGATCGGTGGGGTAGAAGTCGATGATGAATTTCTGTGTCAGTCGGACTGTCAGCAAAAATGCTCTCCCTGATGTGTATGGTTTATACTCACGTTCGCATCCATGTAGACCTTGATGCTCTGGTTTCCTTGAAGGGTTTGCTGGTCGTCATAGTAGACAGTTGCGCTAATCATTGTGAGACGTGATGTTCAGATTCTCAAGACAGTACAAATGTGACGGGGCCTGTCCATTGCACAAGAGAATCAATGCTGGTGGTACTCACTTGATGTAAGCATGGTTCACCCGGAAGAACCCCGCCACCTCGCCCCGGACCGACTGCCCCATGCTCTGGGAGGTCAGATCGAAGCTCAAGTCGACCCGGCTGATGTCGACCTTGCCCCGGATCCGGTCGTGGTAGTTCCAGTGGTAGCAGGAGCACTCGTGCGCGTCCCGCAGCGAGGCCTCCAGCACCTGACGGCCCAGGGGCCGGCTGACCTCCTGCTCAAAGGCCTTCTTGATCTGGGTCTCTGAGACGTCGTGGCCCGCGGAACCACTGATCGTGACGCGGCGGAAGAGAGCCAGGAGCTCGTCGTCGGCGAGGCCGAGCTGGGGGGCTTGGAGAGCCACCATCGCGGGTGTAGGAGCAGTAGTAGAGCGGGTTACTGCGGTGGCCATCTTGCTTGATTGAGTTGGGACTCTGGTTAGTGTTGAGGTGATGAGTAGGAAGAGCTTGTTGTTCTGAAGGTTGGATGGTGGTGCTGATGATGAAAGACCTCTGGAGAGGGCGATGTTCGTCCCTTATATAGACATTTCAGGTGATCAGAACACTGGAGATAGTTTTCGAGTCCTGGTCTTGACCGGAAGGACAGGAAGATGGTTGATGCGTGACATGATGTCGCTCTCGAAGCGATTCAGATTTTGAGTCCAATGGTTTTGGCAGAGACGAGTTGCTACAAACTGCTATCTGCGCGGCTTTCACACTGCAGCTTCATGTTGCAAACTCGTAACTTGCGGTGTTAGGCACAAATCCACACTCTTTGAAGGCCTGCTTCTCCTAGCACGTTAGCTTTACATTGCGCGTTCTCCAGCTAGCCACAAAGCTGACCAGACATGGAACAAGATTGCGTCGAGGCATCTATACGCTTTTCATTCGGCAGTTGGCAGGCACGAAGAGCATTGACGGTTGGTGTGTATGTTGACCATAAATCCAATCACTTGTCGCTATTGAAGATCATTCGTGGAGAACTCTGTTTGCATACGAATGAGGTGTGTGTTTGACACTTGCAAAGCTGCAACTGCTGACTCTACAAGGCCTCCACCTGTTTGGCATCTGCGGCTAGTAAGAGACTGGGCAGCGAGAGAATAGTTCATAAGGTAAGTAGGTTCTACCTCAATGCAGCCGACCAACGGCACAAAGATCGATGAAGTGGCTTATCCATAGCCATCAATGCTTGATGTGATGAAAGGGCATGGAACTAGCATAGTTTTGAGTAGAAACAAACCTCGACAGGCACAATTAACGGCATGGTGAAATGCAAGCTGGATTGTACACAAGCACTTATGGAAGATGGCCTTTCGGGGTGGCACGCAATACTACGGCGTTAAGTCTGTTCCGGTCGATGTGAGCAAGATTGCCATGCACTGCTCAGTTTCACTAGTACCAAGCCAAAGTGCGAATCTCTCGATACTCGGTGATTAGGCTGCGGTTCGCATTTTCCAGAGCAGTGACCGAGGCGGAGCGGGGATATGCACAACACAACAGGGGTAAGGCGTTCCCTGCAGGCTCTGCAGACGCTGCTGAGGAACCTGTTGAGTTCAACTAATGAGCAGCTGAGAACGCTGCATTCAGGCCCAGCTTGCGCATGATCATGGATCATTTAGGACGAACCGTTCGTCGTGCTGGTCCTGCCGTGGCAGTGTGGCAATTGTTCCAGTGACAGCTGGCGTTGACGGCCTGGATTTCAGCCAGCCTCTTGGTCATCCCGAGCACTGACACGGCCTTTAGATTCGCTGTGCAAGGCAGAGGGTTGTGTCACCACCCACTCCACGTGCGGAGGGCTACACAATATCGTAAATCATGGTTCTTAGCACGAGTGGTGACTGGTCTCGTCAGTATCCTCTCGGAGGGCTCTATGATCTGGAAGTCCGGGGCAAGCGTCCACGTCAGCAGCGCCAGCCGCTCATAGCTTTCATTTGGCGGCTGTCAAAGTGGTTCATTGCTTTTTCTCAATGTGGCGAGGAGCCTGTTAGCAAATAGAAAAGCTCATGCTACGGTGAGGATAGGTGTCTGTTGTTGCGCGCAGACATTCCTGGATCGGGCAATCAAGACATGCCCGAGCAGAAACTCAAGAACTATCAAGCATGACAAATTGAGATGGGAGGTGTTTGCAAAAGAGAGAGAAAGAGAGATAAAGATGAGGAAGAGGGTGAGGGAGAGAAGATGAAGCTAAAAGGGAAGGAGGAAGACGAGGTCGGTCACGGGACTCTCTACCTTCTTCTTTTTCTTCTTCAACTTCTTCTACATAGTCCTGACAAGGCTACTAGCATCAACGATCTACTTGCTTCTCTCCGCGATCTACAAACACGTCCCGAGAGGCAATTCCGACGTGCCCCAAGTCTCTGCCAAGCCCGAGGGAGTCGCCGGCAATAAGTCGGCTGAAGAACATCGCCGCTTCAGGGTTTCGGCAGATCAGAGTGGAGAGAGAGGCGAGAGGATACGAGTCGCGGAGTACGAGCTCAGAGCTTCTACTCCGGGCTATACCCGATTGATTAGAAACCCCCTCCGCGGTCCCCACTATGATTCATGTTCTTTTCCTTTGAACTCCTATCTCTTGTCACTTTCAAGAGCATCTCCGCTGAAAGTAACAATTTGAATCACTTGTGTAGGTGCCTGTGCAGCTTCAACGAGGTATCCGCCTGGTCCGGTGCTAACCGCCATCAACCAGAACCAATAGCTCAACCACAATACATCATGGCTTCTGATATGGAATACGTCCGGTACACCATCCCTATAGACTTGCAGTGTGAAGCACAATTGAAGCACAATTCACCTGCTAATAACATGGACATTACAGTCTTGGCAACTCCGGCCTCAAGATCTCCAAGATCATCCTGGGTACCATGTCCTATGGCACCAGACAATGGCAGGACTGGGTACTGGACGAGGAGGAAGCCCTCCCCTTGATCGAGCACGCCTATAAGCGCGGAATCAACACCTGGGATACGGTATCTCCCTTAACCCCCACATTCTGATGGGATTCCCGATCACCCAGCTGACAGCCCGATCAGGCTGACGTCTATTCCCACGGTCGCTCGGAGGAGATCATCGGCAAGGCGCTGAAGCAATTCAACATCCCGCGTGATCGGGTTGTCATTTTGACCAAGTGCTTCTTCGGCGTGGACGATGAAGGGGGCATGCCTCCCATCTCGGCCTGCGGCCGGAACGACGCCGGATTCGTCAACCGCGTTGGCCTTTCTCGTAAGCACATCTTCGATGCTGTGGACGCCAGCGTCCAGAGACTGGGCACCTATATCGACGTGCTGCAGATCCACCGGCTGGACCGCGACACGCCTCGCGAGGAGATCATGCGGGCGCTCAACGATGTAGTTGAGAGTGGGAAAGTGAGATATATCGGCGCCAGCACGGTAAGCACGCCCATAAAAAGAGAGCACATACTGCCACGATGACTGTCCCCAATGTCTACCACATCCGTGTACTAATTATTTTGACCATCAAGATGGCCGCCTGGGAATTCCAGACCCTGCAGAACATCGCCGCCCGCAACGGCTGGCATCAGTTCATCTCCATGCAGAACTTCCACAACCTGCTGGCCCGCGAGGAAGAGCGAGAAATGATCCCCTATTGCCAGGACGCGGGCGTGGGCCTGATCCCCTGGTCGCCCATGGCGCGGGGCGTGCTGGCGCGGCCCTGGGGCTCGCGCTCGACGGTGCGCGAGTCGACCGACGGCGCCCTCAAGTTACTGATCCGCAGCCGCGAGACGGAGGCCGACAAGGCGATCGTGGACCGTGTCGAGGAGCTCGCCCAGAAGAAGGGCGTGAGCATGGCGCAGATCGCCATCGCCTGGTCCCTGAGCCACCCGAAGGAGAACCCGATCCTGGGCCTCAGCAGCAAGGAGCGCATCGACGAGGCCGTTGCGGCCATCAAGGTGCAGTTGACCGCCGAGGAGATCAAGTATCTGGAGGAACCGTATGTCCCTCGGGCAGTGTCGAGCTTGGAGCGGTGATTTCGAGGCGCGTTAGATTCGAGGTAGTCTTTGTTTTCTGTTAAAATAAAACATTTTCTGCATGAAGCAGCCTTCCTACGCTCGGGACACAAGTCCACCGAACTGGACCTTCATACTATACTACAAATACAAACCCTGGGTGATTAACTCGCCATGCGCATCGCGTGAGACTATCACTGCTGGAAGTAAGGCAATCAGAACAAATATGCTATAGGTATATGCCATTGATAATCGTGGTATTCATTCGCACAAGGGCTAAAGTGAGCTGAGATAGATAGGGTTCGAACGGGTGGAATCCGTCACACAAATAAGATATCAAGATATCAGACAATCGCACAAGAACCAAGAACAAAGAAAAGGTTCGCTTGGTCCCATGGAAAAAAAATATTATCGACAGTAACGCTCCAGCTCCTGGCTCTTGTGTTACGAAGACAATATTTCGCAATGGTCGATGATAGTTGGACATAGAACAAGGAAAGAGAGGTATAGGGGTATTGCTCAACCTCTGCAAGAGGGAGGTGGAATGTATGGAATTGAAGATGGCGCCTCGCTGTACTGGGTCTTTCTGGCTAGCCATGGCCAGCACCAGGTGGGACAAGGGGATATAAGAGTGGAGGTGTGTGGTCAATGAGGTCATATCAAAAGCACCAGGCTTCTGTTTCTCTGTCGTGGGACGGATGTATTTCAATGTGAGTGGGTACTTTTGCGGATGATGAAGTCGAATAGACTGCTGAGTCGATGTCGACGTTTGCCCTTGGGTGGAGTCGGTTCAATAGATTTGTTGTTCGATGGAGACGCATTCCCATTTGCTCGGTCCGGTTGTGGTGGTGGTGGTTGTTGGGGCTGCGGGCGAGGGCTTCTGGTACCTTGCGACCGGTCGATATCCTTGTCGGGCGCTTGCTTCAAGTCCGGCGCCTCGGGCTTTCTGCGGTGGGACCAGCGTCTGCGCGTGCTCGAATCTTGTCGAGCCGGGGTGGGCGTAGCGTTGGCATCCGCGTCTTGGACGGGCTCACGAGTGCTGGAAAGCGTGCTGTGGCGGTTGAGGCGGCCGAGAGTGCCAGAGGCACGTCGGTTGGTCCGCTCAATGAATGCTGCTCCGGTTGAGTTGGAACGTCTCGATAGACGCCCGAGCGTTGATTGGTCGGAAATTGTGTTGGGGGGTGATGACATGCAGCTGGATGTGGACATGCGGTGTTGTCTGCGGTTCGTGGCGGCGGGGCCTGTCGGATTGCTGACCTCTTCCTCCAAGGACCGATCGGTTTCAGCCCTAAAGGCTGTCGGGGAGCTCTGTCGTGATGGACAGCGGGATCTGGGGTTGAGCGTCGAAGCGGCGTCGTTGTAGCTGAAGGTATGCGACCAGCCCTCTCGGAAGGCCACCCAGAAGCTAGTAACAATAATCAACATGCGCAGGTCGTCGTCAACAGGCATCCTTCCGCTCAATGGCTCGTCCATCTCCGAGAGGTCGCTGACCACCGACATGGCAGAAGTAGGGGAAGCGATCCCCGAGGTGGCCGGTATTGAGTACTCGTGGAATACCTCCAAATGGTTCCGGGTCATCGTGGCGAGGACAGGGTGACGGCGGGTGTTAGGATTGATCACGCTGAATGTGAAGCGCTTGCTGTCCTCCTGGAGGCCAAAATCGGGGGGCGCCGATACGCGACGGTTCTTGCCTCCCCGCAGCACCCATCGCAGGACCTGGATGCCTTCGTCGGTTTGGGCCACGAACTCGTACGAGCCATTGGCCAGTGGTGTCGCCTCCCAGACCGGTCCATAACTAAGGCAGATTTCCGCCTTGCCTTTCGATAATGCATCGTCCGTTAACAGCTGGCATATCGTTGCGACAACTTCACGGTGCTCTCCGTTTTCTTCATCGGAGCTCAGATGCCGGTCGGCAAAATCGCCTTGGCTCTGTTCATAGCGATCGCCGGTGACGACGATAAGGTCGTTGGGACCAAGCCCTTTCTTGCCGCGAAAGATGGTTGGGAATTTGCGGGCCAGTCTAGGCAGAAACACACTTGACGGGAGGACGTCCAAAATGGGTAAGGGACGCGGGGTTTGTGACACCTGTTGGAGCTGTAAGAGGAGCTTGGGTCGGAGTTTCAGTCGCCTGTGACGTGCGTGGGATGCGGGATGCGCTAATTGGTATGACGTTTTAGGTCGCGACGATTGTTTCCTAGTCGAATATGACCGAGCGATCCTCGAGGAAGCTAGAGTCGGCCCGACGGTCGAATGCTCGTCATCGCTCGACAATAATATCTGGTCTACTGCAGGTGGCCTCGACATTGCACGTGGGTGTTCTTGCAGCGGCGGCTTTTCTGTTTCTGTCACTTTGCGCCGGCCGTACAAGCTTCCCAGACCCCAGGTTGGTAGCGTCGCGAAGGATACAGGCGGCGAGGAATGGCGCGACGAGGTCTGGAGATCGGATTGGGGACCAAGAACGTCGCTGTCGTGAGCTGCTGCTGCATCCGCGGTCAATCCAAGGTTGAATAGCATTTCTTTTCTGGGCTTCAACCACGCCTATCGGTGCTCCGGACTACCATTGACCAGTAGTAGTACGGCGACAGAGGTGGAAGCGCGCCTATAGTTGGTGGCCGCGGACAATAGGTTGTTCTCGTTAAGAGCTAAATGTCGAAGCTTCGTTCAATAGAAAATCGAAAATGGTGAGATGATAGGAAATGGAAAAAGGAAAGTGCATCAGCAAAGAGCAGAATGAGAATGAGAATAAGAGTGTGATGATTGTTGGCCGTGGCCTGCACGACAATGAACAGTTCGGTAGCAAGCGAGGCTGAGGCGGAGGCTGTGAAATCGGGTGGGGAAAGGGGAAAGGAAAGGAGTGAGGTCAGAAGTGAGAGAGGGGGGAGAATAAAAGAATAGGAGGAGAAACGAAGTCCCGGAAAAGTTCACGTCGGACAAACGTGGAGAAATCTATAGATCGTGGGACGAAGGAGGCAAAGAATGAGTGGGCGAGAGAGTGGGTATGAGTAACGAGTATAAGGAGGAGGAGGGAGGAGAATGAAGAAATACGGGTGTAAGGATGGATTGTCAAGTATACGTAGTAGTGCTGCGTAGTGCTGCTGCTGCGTAATGATGGGGGGGAAAGCTTTTCAGCCTTCAGCCTTTTTGCTAATTCAGCCTCTCGTTTGCTCGGGCAAGGGACGGTCGGCCTTAATAGTTAGAATAAGATCCCACCAGAATTGTCCACCTGGATGACTGCTGCATGTCAGACGAAGGAGATCGTGGATCAATAATGGAAGGAAGTGGACGGTGGTCGGGATGAAGCACCGGAGGTTAAAAAAAAGGGTCAGTGTCATTCGGTAATTAATATAAGTATCATAGAGAAGTCTCATGAGGGGGAAAACTCAGGGAAGGGAAAAGAGAGAAAAAAAAAATAAAAAAAAAAAAAAAAAGAAGAAAAAAAGAAAAGAAATTCGATGATGGGCCAACAACGAGCCAAAGTAATGATCATTAATCATGGATCCAGTTGACTGGATTTATTCAGTTTTCCCCGATCTATCAGGATGATTTTTAGGTTCAAGGAACAAATCATGCTGCTGCATTTATGGAGCTGTGAAGCGACCAGACTAGACGGCGATCTTCGGCACCCACACTTAACCACTATCCCTTTGAACTTGGTAGACGGCTCGTAATGATTTTTCAACATTTCAGCCCGTTACGGAGCCCTTCCTCCGGTAGCTATGGGGCATAATGAGTTATGCATGGGGCGAAGACACAAGGAGGGGCAGGTAGGTTTAAGGTATGTACAGTAGTCAGTAGTCAGCAGTCCAGCAGTCCAGCAGAAGACTACAGTATTGTACAGTACGTACATCAGTACGTACAGGCAAATAACTACTAGGTACTCAACAACTACAACTGAATAACTCCGCTGGCGTTCGGAGGTGGAGGAGGTGCAGCAACCTCCGTCGTCCGTGACTCTGGGCGGAAGAACGGATTTTGGCAAGACCTTCTCCGTCACGGAAGCCGGAAACGCCGACCTGCCGTCTTCTGCTTCGGAGCCTCGGCCTCGCAACTATCCATGGTTTATGTTAGAATTCGACTGCCCCAGAAGCATAAGGCTGAATTTGCCTGTTTCTCGGTTTCGACGATGAGCCCGGCTGACAGATCATCGCCAGGAATCACCTAGATGATACCATACAATCAATCCACTCTAAAACTCTTACAGAGTATCCTCACTGATATCTTATGACAAATCTGGATAACATTTGACTAATTGACTGAAGGATTGCAAAGTTTGGATAGTTAGTCATTTTAACTGACTCATTGCAATCTGCATACTACTCGAGAAAACTTGTGAGAGAAAATTAGCTGCCAGGTGCCAACCGACTCCGACCGAGTCCGTTTTCTTGGCTGGGCCAGTGCTTGGCATTTCACTTAACCACAATGAGGGTCTAGCAAATTTCTGTATTTCGCGCAAATTTTACTGTGCAGTCTCGTGGATCTGGCCGGAAAGTCGGTCTGTCCAAGCAATTGACTGGCCAGTACCTGAGTATAGATAGCTTCTGATGGTCAGCTATCTTGTAGCAGTCAGTCCACGGGGCAACCCGAGCCAACCTCCTCGAGTATCACTCCAAATCCACGGCAACAGATGGGCCCATCGTATCCCTTTTCAATGGATTGAGGTGGCCATTGGTCGGTACAACAAGCATTCCGCGTGATCAAACAGTGGGGCTCGAGCTCAGGAGGATCTCGAACAGAGGTTGCATAAGGCCGACATATCCAGCAGAAATTGAAACAGAGGCACAGTAGTGCATGCACATATACAAAGTGGTGTACTGAACACTGGCCGAGTACATCATGCATTGAGCTCCTCATCATGAGAACCTATGGAATTGGCACGGAAAGGTTCTGCATCCAAAGAACTTCAGAACAGGTTGACTCGGGTTAGATGAGTAAGGTATGGCTATTGACCTTCCCTATCGAGGATGCCCGTAACGTGCTGCTTGCGTTACCGGAGATCCGAACAACAGAACACTCCAGATGAGAGGGGTGACCCAGTTGATCCGGTAGGGCTGACTTGTCTGAGCCTCTGAGGGGAGGAATTATTGGAGGAGGGAGTTCTCACTTCCAAAAAACTTTCTCCGCGATCCGGAGAACCTTGTCCTCTGACATCATCATTATCATGAATGGATATGATCCTTATGTAGTCTGACGACTAGATTGGCATAAACCCCATCCCCGCTTGTCTATCTCTTGAATGTACTACTACGTATGTACTACTATGTATCAGTAAACTACTAAATTAACTAAATTACTACACTAGATCGCACTCATGTCACTGCAATGGAAAGAAACGCCACCCTCGCCATCAGGATGCAAGGCATTACGTATTTGTGCACCGCCATATGCTGAATAAGACACAGCTATGCTTGCCGAACTTTCCGATCCGTTTAGCCACGGCTTGGCTCAACGCGTCTTTAATCATCCCTCCATGTTCACTTCTTCATAACCAATACATACTTACCTACCACCTCCACTTACCTCGGTTATTGCCATCATCCCATGATTAGAAGGTAGTGTGAAGTCCTGCGTTAGACCATCACACAGGATTCATCGCGTTATCCTCGATCGAGGCCACAATGACAGCCATCTAGAAAGGCACATAGAATATCGCGTGGATAGGGAAGACCAAAGGGTGCATGCATAGTTTGGATTTGCTGATGCCTACGGATAATATGAGTTCATCAACTTACGCAGGCTCGCGAGCGGCGAATCGCCCCAGCATCCTGGATCCCGCCCGTCCTATGAGAGGCTTGACAATCGCTTTCTGTCTATGGAAGGTGCTGATATTCCTGGTCATCGTCTCGTGCCCAGGACTGGGCTACGATACCTCCACAAGCCATTTTTATGAGTACCACGATACCAACAACTCTGATGTCATATCAGAGGACATCGAAGATCTACTCCTCACCGTTCCACGAAAGTTCGTCCGGTGGGACTCTATCTACTTCTTGCATATAGCTCAGCAGGGGTATGTCTTCGAGCAAGAGTGGGCATTCGGCTATGGCTACACTCAAGCCTTAGCTTACCTGACTTCCGGTAAAAAAGCTTCTTTTCTCTAAGCAAACCACTGGTAGCCACTAATTGCCGATGTAGTTCTGCAAAACCTCACCGGCTTGGGAGGAGGGGTTATAATAGCGATTGAGGCGATCCTACTCTCTCATGTTGCACACTACCTCTCCGTTCTTGCGCTCTATAGACTGTCCGTTAATGTGTTTGGAAACGACAGTACCACGCAACGACTCATCTGCCTGCTGTCCTCAGCTTTACATATAATTTGCCCCGCCGGAGCATTTCTTTCGGCTCCATATGGAGAGTCACTGTTCTCATTCCTGAACATAACTGGTTTCTATCTCTACTCTTCCGCTTACCTGGATAACAAGAATGGCAGGCGTCTGTCCGGCGATTTCAAAACACTTTTGTCCGCTGTTCTGTTCTCTGCAGCAACGACTGTTCGCAGCAATGGTATCTTAAGCGGGATATTGTTCGCCCATGACGCTTTCCTCCAGCTTCGACGGGTCGTGTCACAGAGTCTGTCATTGAACGCCTGTGCGCACCTGCTGGTTGCAATCGTGAGCGGTTGTATCATTGCTCTGGGGCTCATTCTCCCTCAGTATATCGCTTACACAGCATACTGTGGGGATGACCCTAATTCCCGGCCATGGTGCCAATGGTATGTTCCGAGTATATATGGTTGGGTGCAAACCCATTATTGGTATGTGATTGTCTACCTCTGGGCTGCACCAAGTACACTAATCATAGGAATAGGAATGTGGGTTTCCTTCGGTATTGGAGTATCTCGAACCTTCCACTATTTGTTCTTGCGATGCCCATGCTGGCTATACTGTGTCGCTCGTCTTTCTGGGCACTTGACATGGCTGTCCCTTTTATTTATCCAAGGGCTCTCAGTGGTGTTGATCACGCTTCATCGTCAGCTACCACCGCCTCATTGCTCCTACGACTGGCTGCGCCGCAGGGAATCTTGGCTTTGCTGGCCCTCACCAGCTATCACGTCCAGATTATCAATCGGATAGCTTCCGGTTACCCACTGTGGTATTGGTACCTTGCGTACTTGGTTTCTGGAAATTGGGGCCAAATTCCCCCTTCAATTCAACATAGCCGTACGTTCACAGGTGCGGTGCAGGGCATGGTGGCATATGCTTTAGTGCAGGCCACATTATTTGGATCATTTTTACCACCAGCCTGAGGTAGCGATCCAAGCTAAGAAGAAGGCTTCCAAGCCACCACATACTAAGTATATGCATTTCTAATTCCGCGGCTGGTCATATAAAGCTGTCAAACTTTGAATACGAATCATTGTCAAATGAGAAGAACAAAAAAATAGAAAGACAATCAACGAAAAGATTTCAGCACTGTAGAAATGATATATTCTGTAAACGTGATGGAATTGAGGGAAAATCCTTTGGGCAGGGAAGAATGCCTGTGTGACAACAGCATTACTAGTTAAATTGCCAACC